ACGCCCGCCGGCCCGCGACCGCCCAGGGGCCAGCCCGCTCGTCACCGGCGAGCTTCCCCGCTTGGGATTTCAGGATGGAGACAGGCTGGCACTCGAGGCGCCAGGCGCACGGGGGCCTGCGCAGAGCCGGACCCCTGAAGCTCCCCGAGAGCCACGCCACGCCCCGGGCCTGGGCGCCCCAACCCTGCACCTCGCCAAGACGCGGCTCCCGCCATCGGCAGGAAATTCAGAGACCAAACGCGGCTCAAGGGCAGCCGGGCTGGGGCCTCGTGGCCTCCGGACCTGGGCAGGGCGCGACGCCAACGGACGGAGCAGGGCTGGGCGCGCGGCCGCGGCAGGCCGCCCCGTGGGCACCGGTCGCGCCCTTGAAGCGGATCACGGCGCCGTGAGGCGGGACAGACACCCGCGCTGCCGTCTGGCCTGAGCCTGCGGTGCTGGGCCCCAAGGTCCCCGCGGAAGGTCCTGGCTGTCGCGGGACCCCACGATCCGACCCCACCAGCTCCCAGGACGCAGCTCGCTGCCCGCCCGCCCAGTCGGCGTTTACGACGCAGCAATACGCCCAAGCCCGAGTCCCTCTGGCTCCGACACGCTCATCTCCGCGGAGGCTCCGCTCCCCTGTCCTGTCCCACCCCGACCCCAGCCGCAAAGCTTCCCGGCAAGGTGCCTGAGCCAGGAGGGCCGGCCAGGGGCCGCAAGGAAGGCCAGAGCCTCGCCTGTGGGTGGAGGGGATGATCCCGACGCAGAGGCCTGGGCCACAGCCTGTGACGACAAAGCCAGACCGCTGTGCTCTGAGCCAGGACTGGGCAAGGAGGGACCTGCTGGCCCGGTGGGGAGTGTGCGTCCTGCAGCTCCCCTCACCAGCGGGTGCTGAAGACCCAGGGGAGTAGGAGGGTCGGGCTGTGCAGGGTGGCAAGGCCGGAGCGCGAGGGCGGGGAAGGGCCCAGGCGGCGAAGGCGAGCGCCCCCCCCCCCCCCGGGGCCTGCAAGCTCGGCACCCCCGCTGTGGCAGCGCACGATCCCCTGCCGCGCACTGGGCCCCACTGTCCCTCCGAGGACCTGGAGCTGCCCTGGCTAGTATGCAGCCAGCGCTCCCACCCCCTCACCAGGGCCACTTACTTTTCTCACAATGGCGGTTCAAGTGCAGGTTGCTGAGGTCAGCTTGGAACTGAGGCCCCACCATGATCTCCTGCGAAAGCACAAGTCCAGTCTCAGGCAGACCGCTGGACAGTTTGCGCGAGCAACTGCCCCAGAAGCGCAGCCCTGTGGTCAGACAGGCTGGAGGGTGCGATAGGACGGGGCTGGGCAGCGGCCCGACTGTCCCCCCCCCCAGCTGTCCAGGGCAGCCACTCACGTGGGGCGGGCAGCGCCGACACCCAGCCCGAGCGTGGACAACAGGGCTCCAGGCCCGACACCGCCGCCGAGTCCGGCCCGGCCCGCACCTGGAGTGGGGGGCTGGCCGGGCCGAGGGGCAGGGGCGGCGGAGGGCGCAGCGGGGCGAGTCACGCACCTTCTTGCATTTGTTGGCGGGCAGGGGGTCCTCCTCCGTGTCGGACGAGGCCGAGGAGCTGGGCTTTTTGGCTCCGTCAGCCAGGAAGCAGGCTTTGGGAGAGCGGACAGTGAGGCACACCCAGGGCACCGTGCAGGGGTCAGGGGACTCACCCAGACACTGGGCGCCCCGGGCCCATCTCAGCCTTCCTGCCTCGCCAGTCCCGGCCGGGAGCCGAGTCTACCGGGGGAGCCCCGGGGCAGTCTCCTCATGGCGTCTTTGCAGGAGGGGACCCGGGGTGCCCACTGCCGGCAGCCTCCACCCCACTCTCCATCACCGGACCCCCATGCGGTGCCCCTCCCGAGCAGCAGGGGACCCAGGTCTTGCCCAGACCGGGGGTGGGGGTGGGGGGCGTGGGCCCCGGGTTCCCACACATGACGGGTGTGGCCGCGGGGGCCTGGAGGGCAAAGCCGAGGAAAACGGCGTGGGGGGCCGCCCCAGGAACCGACAGCTCCCGCCGGGGCTGGCGAGACAGGCGCCCCGGAAAGGTGCCCCCAGCAGCCCGAGCCGCGGCCGCCCCGCCGGCAGGCGGAGGGGCAGGACACCTACATCCACTCTGGTTGGGGAAAAGGTCAGAGGCCCCGTGGGAGGTCACAGACGGGGTGAGGTCATCGGCTGAAGACTGTGTCTCTTCCTCTTCTTCCCCTGAAAGCAAATCCTTCGCTATTTGTTCCTTTTAACAAAGAAAGCAAAGAACATTTTTGCAGTTCAACAATCTGTCACACTGATAATTCTTTTTGCTTTCAAAGCTTACTTATTTATGCTCACAAGAACGGAGGTACAGGCCAGAGGTGCAGGGGGTGAGTGGATTCCCGGGAGAGAGTGGGGAGCAGGACAGGCGGACCCACTGAAGTACACTGCGAGGGAGGCGGGAGTCAGGAGGGGTCAGCCGCGTGCCGCAGGGGCTGTGGACAGCCTCACGGTGCTGCGACTCATCCCTGCGCCCCGAGGGGGCCCCCGTCACGCTAAAGACGCTAACGACGACTGCACTAGTGTGGGTGAGCCTCCCTCCAGCAGCAGCCCGGGGGGCCAGAGGGGGTGTCCCCCCACTCTGCAGATGTGGAGACCAGGTGCAGGCCAGTGGGGACCCTGTAGAGGCCCAGGAGGCTGTCACAGCCGCGTCGCTGCCCGTCCACGGGGCCCTCGGCCGGCGATAAGGCCTTCCCTCCTGGCACTCGCCCCGCGACCCGGTCAGGACCCAGAGGTCAGTGCCCAGAGGCCGGAAAGCGAGGCCCTGGCCAGGGAACCGGAACAATGGCGTCCTCTCCCGCCCACCCCGTGGCCAGGCCTTACCCGCGCCTCCGCCCGTGACCGCTCACCTTGTCCAGGGTCATGTCCGGGAGGGGCACTGTGGCCTCGCTGCCCTCGCTCTCCCGGTCCGAGATGGGGTCTGACGTCTCGTAGCCGTAGAGGGCGAGCAGCTCGTCGAGGGGCATGTCGCTGCTCTGCGGGGACGGCGCGCGTCAGGGCGCTGCCCCCGGCCCGCCTGGGCGGGG